TCTTGTTTTGGCCTGTACCTTTCCTCTGGCAACCACTTCCAGAGTTCTCAAAGAGTTAACATTCCTGGAAAACTACTCTGATCTTGTCACTACATTACCTAATAACTTTGAGTGATCTCAAAGTTCAGACTCCTTGGCATGGCATTCAAGGGCCTTATTATCTAAAGCCTGTTATATTCTGGCTCAGAAAATTGGATCTCCAGCCTCATTTCCTACCACCCCTCTCTCTCTCATGTGAATTGCTTCATCCCTGACAATCAAACACATGATGCATTATTTTAATACAAGCGTTGTAAAATCTCTGAGGAAAGTTTAATAAAATGGGATTGGTGTTGAGCTGAAAATAGCTAAAACAGGCTTTTTCTAAAGCTTAATACTTAAGATGGAAAAGTATTATCATTTCAGGAAAGACTTGACTTTTTATATTAAATTGTTGAAGAAGCTTATGGAATATCTTTATTTGGAGCCTTTTAAACAGACTAGAAACTCTTCTGTTTGGGATGATTTAGGTATACCCACAGGAGATAAACAAGATGAACTTTGAGGTTGTGGCCAGGTTTAGAAGTTTTGGGGTGATTGACTATCTAAATGAGGCCAAAAGATCCAAGTGGGAGTAAAAAGAAATTCAGTTAGTCATCTACATGCTATCTCTCTGATTCCAAAGACCTGGATATTTAATAATTGAATAAACTATGTAGTTCAGTGATATTTTCTGCTTTGAATGTTCATATATTGCTGTTGTATAAATAACTCCACAAGATAAACACATGTTATCTCATTCCCATCTGCCATCAAATAACATATCAAATTGTAATTACTAGATAAAAATGTGACTTCAATTGAAAATGTTCCAAAATTGTTTTTGTTTGTTCTGAGAATAATAATGAACTGGTGTAAAATACATTTTTGATGACTTTTTAGCTATTTCTTAATTTTTATAAAATGAAAATTAGGAAATGACTTATCCATCATCCATATATTTATATGATTCTGTATTTTGAATTTAGGTATGTGTCTTGTGCCCTGGGCTGTCCATATGAAGGAAACATCACACCACAAAAAGTGACAGAAGTAAGATACCCCTGGTTTTCTGGTTCTTGGTAAAATGATGTATATTATTTTAAAAAGTAGCCTATTTTCCTTACTGTATTTTGCATCTGACAACAGAGTTGTCTTCCATGGGATGGAAGACAAGTTTGATTACTTAACTAATTGTTTCATTTTGACACTGCAGATGGATATATTGGCACAACTCTTCAAAGTTAAATAACCTTAGTCTTATCATTTGGGTGCTCAAAGGTGAAGGAATAAAAACACCTGTTTCATTTTTACATGGGTAGAATGCAGTGAGGGCCTTTCCACATTCCATCAGAATGTCAGGACAGTTTGTGCACACACACTTCAACTTCGCTTTGGTCGCTCAGGTAGGCTCCCTTCGTTTTTGTCCTGCATACTTTGACACTTGTATCAGAGTTTTTTCTGATACACTGCTTTTGCTGTACACTGTTTTTGTTCCTTTAAGATCCAAGAGCTCTTACTGCTGAGATTCAAGTTGCTTTTATTAGCAATTTTGTGGTGATAGATTATATTATATATAGATTAAAGACCTGCTTATTGAAGTTCATTTTCTACTTCCTGTTCCGGTTTATTAATTGATACCAATGAAGACAAAATATTCAGTTTTTGAGACTATATTAGGCTCTCAGAAACATTTGTATATGAACTATATGAATGTGCACCTGTTGTTAAGGCTGTTATTGTCATATATTTTGTGATGCGTTACCAAAGTAGTGAAGATAGAGCATTGTTAGAAAATCAGAATTTACGCAGGATAAACCTTCAGTTTGGCTAAAGCCATTCCTCTTTTGTGCTGTCATTTGAACTTTTGAAATTTACTGCAGATTTTTTTCAAATGAGTGTTGTCCCACAGTCTATTTTTAAGACCTTTACACAGAGAGGCAGATACACTATAAAATAAAGATTCTTCAGTGTTGTAGTTCTTCACCTGCATGGGACCCTTCTAAGACTTTATTAATTTGCACTCACAAATACATATTCTTTTCTTAAAATTTCCAAAATGATATAACTTCAGGCTCCACAAAAAACGAGGCTCCAACTCTTACCCCCCACCAAACCCCTTGCTTTTCTGCCTTTTGCCTTGTGGAGTCTCTGGATGTACCACCCACATCCTCAGCCTCTCCATGCCTGCCCCAGAATGCCTGAGGAGTTGCTGAAGAGAATCAGGCAGATCAGAAGCATTAGTTGATGACCAGCAACTTTAAATGAGCCTTCTGTACTCTTCTACTAGGTTTTGTGGCCGGCTCACTCTCTTACTGCCTGCAGTCAGCATTGCAAACTGTTCAGTCTGTTCAAGCTTCTAGTTCCTCTCATTTACTCCCCTGTATATTCAACTGGTTAGAATCCTTCCTGTTGACGCTTGAACACGTTCAAGTCTCTTCCATCTGAAAGCCTCCTTTCTTAATTAAGCATCCACATCTATTTACTGGTTACCTATTTTTATCCTTCTACATCTATTTTTTTATTTTTTAAAGATTTTTATTTATTTGAGAGAGCGAGAATGAGAGAGAGCGAGCACATGAGAGGGGAGAGGGTCGGAGGGAGAAGCAGACTCCCCGCTGAGTGGGGACCCCAATTCAGGACTCGATCCCGGGACTCCAGGATCATGACCTGAGCCGAAGGCAGTCGCTTAACCGACTGAAACTTCTTCAAAGGGCTGTCTACACTAGTGGTGTTTATTTCCTCAGGTGCCACCAGCTCTTTATCATCCTCCAAGGTGACTTCTAGACCATTCACTTCACTGAAATCCCTCTTTGTAAGACCACCACTTAGCACTTGGGTTAAAAAATGCAAGATCATATCCACTACTCATCTTGACATCTTAGCAGAATTTGGGACTACTGACCACTTGTCCTTGATGACACCCTTGTTTCCTTAAACTCCCTTGATACCACACTTAGGGTTTTCATCCAACTGTGGCTAGGTTTCTCTTTTGAAACTTCATTGTCCTTTACCTGGCCATTAAGAAATTCCAGCATTTAATAGGCAGTAGGGAAGAATGAAAATTATGCCTTTTTTTTTGTTTTAAATCCAAGTTTCCATCCAATAATAGTCTCCTACTTGGACTAGGGGGCCCTTCTGAGTGCCCTCCAACCTGTTTTCGATATTGTTGATAGTGCCTTTCTGAAAGATTAATATTGCCACTACCCCAACAGTCTATTGTGGCTTTCTATTGCTCTTATGATAGAATCCTCAACCAAAATTCTCAGCTTGGCTTGTTTGCAAGGCTCTGCATGGTTTGTCCTACGCCCACCTCACCAGAATTATGTAGCTTCATTCCCCCTTGGTTTTTGCTTTCTTGCCACACCTACCCTTTGTATTTTTTTTTTTTCCCTATCTGGAATGCCCTTTGCATTTTCTATTTCAGCTGTCTGGAACACGTTATATTCCACCTGAAACATTCTTAGTGTACCCTTCTTCTCACCCTCTTCAACAAGTTAACGCCTACTTTATCTCAAGCTCTCACTTAGGCCCTTCCTACTTGATAGATGTAGGTCAATTTCCTTTGCTACATGCTCTTAGAATCCTGTTTCTTTGTTCCAAAATTCTTATTTTACTTGTATTTACACTTTCTTGAGTGGAATTGTTTGAGTTCAATCCTCAGTTGACAGCATCAACCATCTCAGGACTTATATGCTGATTATGTCCCAGCCCCTAAACTAGTGCCTGCCAAAAAATTATGAGAAATACATAATAAATCAGTTATTTTTTTACATATGCCAGATATTGTACAAAGCGATTTTTTATATATTCTCATTTCATTTTCATAACCAACATGTCCTTATTAACATCATCATTAATGCAATCTTTAAAAATTAATAAGACTTAGAAAATATGCTAATTGTTTTCTCTATTTTGTTATCTCTATTTTACAGGAAAGAGACTGAGGCTTAAAAAGGTTAATCTTCTACCCAGTAGCACATGACTAGCATGGGTGGAAGCTGAGATTTAAATCCAGGCTTGTCTGATTTCAGAACTCATGTCTTTGTTAACATAACATGCTGCCTTCTTGTAAACTCATATTGCTCTTTGAAAGCGACATTAGTTATCCATCATAAAGGGAACTTGCAGTTTACTTTGCACAAGTGCCTCCATTTATAAGCCAGAAAAATTAAGTTAGAAATCTTAGGTGATTCTGTCAATCACAAAACTACTTACTGACAGAGCTGGAACGAGTATTGATATCTCTTGACCTCTAATCTAATGCCTCGAGAAATACTACTTCCAAAGTAAATTTGTAATGCTCCTGTTTCGATGATAGGGTTGAGAAAGTAAGGCTCCCATAATTGAAATTGTAGCTTATAATTTCATAACCAAACTATGTAAATAGATAGTTATGATTCTAAGGCAAATTTGAATATTAGAAAAATATAGTAATGTCTTTAAAACCTTTATGTAATGCTTAGGACTTAATAAACAGGAAAAAGACCAGAAAACTAAAATAAATGTTTCCCATGGATACGTAACTGATCTTAGTTGTGACTTTTACTTCTGGATGATGTTTGCTAAGGAATAACAGGGTTTGAGACTGTCCATTTCCATTGTTTCACTAGCTCCTCACCTTTCCCGACAGGTATCTAAGAGATTGTATGGTATGGGCTGTTATGAGATCTCTCTGGGAGACACCATTGGAGTGGGAACTCCAGGGAGCATGAAGAGAATGTTGGAGAGTGTCATGAAAGAAATCCCACCTAGTGCTCTTGCCGTTCACTGCCATGACACATATGGACAAGCCTTAGCAAATATCCTTACGGCCCTTCAGGTATTTCGTATTATTTGTGTGTATGTGCAAAATGGGTATCCTTACTTATAAACATCAACAGCATTAGTGGGATAATATTTATAAACTGCTATGAATATAGTGCTTAAACAGTGTCTACCACATGACAAGCACTCAGGAAACATCTGAAAATTACACATTTATTTTTAGGACGATGTCTCCTATTGCTGTTAATTTGATTTGATAAAATTTGTTCTTTTTTTTACTGTAGGGTAGTTGACATACAATATTAGTTTTAGGTGCAACATAGTAATTCAATAATTATATATATTATGAAATGACCACCACAGTAAGTGTAGTTATTCTCTGTCACTTACAACAATATTGACTATGTTCCATATGCTTGTCATGCTTATGACTTTTATAACTGGAAGTCTGTACTTTTTAATACCATTTGTCTATTTTACCCATTACCCCTACCCACCTCCCTTCTGGCAACCAAGTGTTTGTTCTCTGTATTTAGGAGTCTCTTTGTTTGTTTGGTTTGGTTTTTAGATTCCACATATAAGAGAAATCATATAGCATTTGTCTTTCCCTGTCTGGCTTGTTTGCAGACCTGTATTATTATACATGAAGTATTTGTCTTTTCCATCTGGAAAACAACGTTCATGTTGTTGCAAATGGCAAGATTCCATTCCTTTTCGTGGCTGAATAATATTCCATTGTGTGTATATGTACCACGTCTTTCTCCTTTCATCTATTCATGGACACATAAATTGCTTTCATATCTTGGTTATTATAAATAATGCTGCCACAGAACAGATAGGTGCATGTATCTTTTTAAATTAGTGTTTTTGTTTTCTTCAGGTAAATGCCCAGAAGTTGAAATACTGGGTTGTATGGTATTTCTTTTTTTTCCCCCCTTTAAATTTTTTTATTGTTTTGTTAATCACCATACATTACATCATTAGTTTCTGATGTGTTCCATGATTCACTGTTTGTGCATAACACCCAGTGCTATACGCAGAACATGCCCTCTTTAATACCCATCACGGGCTAACCCATCCCCCCCACCCCCACCCCCCTCCCCTCTAGAACCCTCAGTTTGTTTTTCAGAGTCCATCATCTCTCATGGTTCGTCTCCCCCTCCGATTTACCCCCCTTCATTCTTCCCCTCCTGCTATCTTCTTTTTTTTTTTTTTTAACATCTATTGCGTTATTTGTTTCAGAAGTACAGATCTGTGATTCAGCAGCCTTGCAAAATTCACAGCACTCACCATAGCACATACCCTCCCCAGTGTCTATCACCCAGCCACCCCATCCCTCCCACTCCCCCATCACTCCAGCCACCCTCAGTTTGTTTCCTGAGATTAAGAATTCCTCATATCAGTGAGATCATATGATACATGTCTTTCCCAATTCACTTATTTCACTCAGCATAACACCTCCTCCAGTTCCATCCACATCGTTGCAAATGGCAAGATCTCCTTCTTTTTGATGGCTGCATAATATTCCATTGTGTATATATACCACATCTTCTTAATCCATTCATCTGTCGATGGACATCTTGGCTCTTTCTACAGTTTGGCTATTGTGGACATTGCTGCTATAAACATTGGGATGCACGTACCCCTTCAGATGCCTACATTTGTATCTTTGTGGTAAATACCCAGTAGTGCAATTGCTGGATCGTAGGGTAGCTCTATTTTCAACTGTTTGAGGAACCTCCATACTGTTTTCCAGAGTGGCTGCACCAGCTTGCATTCCCACCAACAGTGTAGGAGGGTTCCCCTTTCTCCACATCCCCGCCAACATCTGTCGTTTCCTGACTTGTTAATTTGAGCCGTTCTGACTGGTGTGAGGTGGTATCTCATTGAGGTTTTGATTTGGATTTCCCTGATGCCGAGCGATGTGGAGCACTTTTTCATGTGTCTGTTGGCCATTTGGATGTCTTCTTTGGAAAAAAGTCTGTTCATGTCTTCTGCCCATTTCTTGATTGGATTATTTGTTCTTTGGGTGTTGAGTTTGATAAGTTCTTTATAGATTTTGGATGCTAGTCCTTTATCTGACTTCTAATTTTTTGAGGAAATTCCATACAGTTTTCCACAGTGGCTGCATCAATTTACATTTCCAACAACAGTAGATGAGGGTTGCTTTTTCTCCACATCCTCACTAGCACTTGTTGTCTTTTTGATACTAGCCATTCTGACAGGTGTGAGCCAATATCTCATTGTGGTTGTGATTTGTATTTCCCTGATGATCACTCATACTGAGTATCTTTTCATGTGTCTGTTGGCCATCTGTATGTCTTCTTTAAAAAAACATGTCTATTCAGGTTCTCTTCCTATTTGTAATTGGATTTTTTTGGTATTAAAGTGTGTTTAAGTTTTTAATATATTTTAGATGTTATCTCCTTATCTGATGCATCATTTGCAAATATCTTCTCCCATTCAGTAGGATGCCTTTTTGTTCTGTTGGTTTCCTTCACTGTGCCAAAGCTTTTTATGTTGGTGTAGTTCCAATAGTTTAATTACAGTTTTGTTCTCTGTGCCTGAGGAGATAAGTATAGAAAAATATTGCTAAGGCCAGTGTCTAAGAGATTACTGCCTATGTTTTATATTGAGTTTTATGGTGTCAGGTCTCATATTTATGTTTTTAATCCATTTTGAGTTTATTTGTGTGTATGGTGTAAAGATAGTGGCCTAGTTTCATTCTTTTGCCTGTGGCTGTCCAGTTTTCCCAGCACCATTTATTAAACAGATGGTCTTTTCCCTCTTGTATATTCTTGACTTCTTTTATATATTCTGATGTCCTTTGTCATAGATGAATTGAGCATGAAATGATGGGTTTATTTCTGGACCCTCTATCCTGTTCTGATCTATGTGTCTATTTTTGTGCCAGAGCGATGCTGGTTTAATTACTTTAGTTTTGTGATATATTTTGGAATCTGGGATTGTGATACCTCCAGCTTTGTTTTTCTTTCTCAAGATTGCTTTGGCTATTCAGGGTGCTATATACTTCCCTACAAATTTTAGCATTGTTTGTTGTAGTTATGTGAAAAATGCTGTTGGTATTTTGATAAGGATTGCATTGAATCTTTAGACTATTATGGCTTATATGAACATTTTAATGATAGTAATTCTTCTAATCCATAAGCATGATATAGCTTTCCATTTCTTTTTGTCATCTTCAGTTTCTTTAATTAACATCTTACAAATTTCAAACTGCATGTCTTTCCTGCTTGGTTAAATTTATTCCTAGGCATTTTATTCTTATTGATGCAATTGTAAATGGGGTTGCTTACTTCATTTTTCTTTCTTCCTCTTTGTTATTACTGTATAGAAATGCAACGGATTTTTCTTTATTTTCTATCTTGCAACATTACTTAATTCATTTTGTAATGCTAACAGCATTTTGGTTCTAGTCTTTAGGGTCTTATATATAGTATCATGTCATTTGCAAATAGTGACAGTTTTACTTCTTCCATAACAATTTGGATTTTTTTTTTTTGTCTGATTGTTGAAGCTAAGATTTTTAGCACTATGTTGAATAAAACTGGCAAGATTGGATATCCTTGTCTCATTCCTGATCTTAGTTGAAAAGTTTTCTGCTTTTTATCATCGAGTATGATATTAGCTGTGGGTTTGTCATATGTGGCCTTTACTATGTAGAGGAATGTTACCTTTAAGCCCACTTTTTTGAGAGTTTTTATTAAGTGATGTTGAATTTCATCAAGTGCTTTATCTGCATCTATTGAGATGATAAGATTTTAATTCCTCATTTTGTTAATGTGGTATATCATGTATATTGATTTCTGGATATTGAATCATCCTTGCATCCCTGAAATAAATCCCACTTGATTATGGTGAATGATCCTTAATGTATAATTTATTTGGTTTGATAATATTTTGTTGAAGATTTTGCACCTATGTTCATCAGAGAAATTAGCCTCTTATTAATTTTCTTTTTTAAAAGTGTTTTTATCTTTTTTTTGTTTCTTTGTTTGTTTTGTATCAGGGTAATGATGGTTTTGTAGAATGAATTAGGAAGCTTTCCTTCCTCTTTAATTTTTTTGGGATAGTTTGAGAAGGATAGATATTAATTCTTCTTTATATGTTTGGTAGAATTAACCTGTGAAGCCACCTGGTTATGGAATATTGTTTGTTGGGAATTTTTTTATTACTGATTCAATTTCATGGATAGTAATCAGTCTTTTCCAATTTCCCATTTTCCTTATTCAGTATAGGAAGAGTACATATTTCTAGGAATTTCTCCATTTCTTTTAGGATGTCCAAATGAGGGTGTATAATTTTTCATAGCAGTTTCTTATAATTCTTTGTATTTCTGTGGTGTTGGTTGTTATTTCTCCTCTTTTTTTTTAAATTTTTTTATTGTTATGTTAATCACCCAACATTATATCATTAGCTTTTGATGTAGTGTTCCATGATTTATTGTTTGTGCATAACACCCAGTGCTCCATGCAGAACGTGCCCTCTTTATACCCATCACCAGGCTAACCCATCCCCCCACCCCACCCCCTCTAGAACCCTCAGTTTGTTTTTCAGAGTCCATCGTCTCTCATGGTTCGTCTCCCCCTCCAACTTACTCCCCTTCATTCTTCCCCTCCTGCTATCTTCTTCTTTTTTTTTCTTAACATATATTGCATTATTTGTTTCAGAGGTACAGATCTGTCATTCAACAGTCTTGCACAATTCACAGTGCTCACCATAGCACATAACCTCCCCAATGTCTATCACCCAGCCACCCCATCCCTCCCACCCAACACCACTCCAGCAACCCTCAGTTTGTTTCCTGAGATTAAGAATTCCTCATATCAGTGAGGTCATATGATACATGTCTTTCTCTGATTGACTTATTTCACTCAGCATAACACCCTCCAGTTCCATCCATGTCATTGCAAATGGCAAGATCTCATTCCTTTTGATGGCTGCATAATATTCATTGTGTATATATACCACTTCTTCTTTATCCATTCATCTGTCGATGGACATCTTGACTCTTTCCACAGTTTGGCTATTGTGGACATTGCTGCTATAAACATTGGGGTGCATGTACCCCTTCGGATCCCTACATTTGTATCTTTGGGGTAAATACCCAGTAGTGCAATTGCTGGATCGTATGGTAACTCTATTTTCAACTGTTTGAGGAACCTCCATACTGTTTTCCAGAGTGGCTGCACCAGCTTGCATTCCCACCAACAGTGTAGGAGGGTTCCCCTTTCTCCACATCCCCGCCAACATCTGTCGTTTCCTGACTTGTTAATTTGAGCCGTTCTGACTGGTGTGAGGTGGTATCTCATTGAGGTTTTGATTTGGATTTCCCTGATGCCGAGCGATGTGGAGCACTTTTTCATGTGTCTGTTGGCCATTTGGATGTCTTCTTTGGAAAAATGTCTGTTCATGTCTTCTGTCCATTTCTTGATTGGATTATTTGTTCTTTGGGTGTTCGGTATGATAAGTTCTTTATAGATTTTGGATACTAGCCCTTTATCTGAGATGTCATTTGCAAATATTTTCTCCCATTCTGTCAGTTGTCTTTGGTTTTGTGGACTGTTTCTTTTGCTGTGCAAAAGCTTTTTATCTTGATGAAGTCCCAGTAGTTCATTTTTGCAAATTCCTTTAGTTTTTGTTTGTCCTGGAAGCCTTTTATCTCTCCTTCTATTTTCAATGACAGCCTAGCTGGATATAGTATTCTTGGCTGCATATTTTTCTCGTTTAGTGCTCTGAAGATATCATGCCAGTCCTTTCTGGCCTGCCAGGTCTCTGTGGATAGGTCTGTTGCCAATCTAATGTTTCTACCATTGTAGATTACATATCTCTTCTCTCGAGCTGCTTTCAGGATTTTCTCTTTGTCTCTGAGACTCGTAAGTTTTACTATTAGATGTCGGGGTGTTGACCTATTTTTATTGATTTTGAGAGGGGTTCTCTGTGCCTCCTGGATTTTGATCCCTGTTTCCTTCCCCACATTAGGGAAGTTCTCTGCTATAATTTGCTCCAATATACCTTCTGCCTCCTCTCTCTCTCTTTCTTCTGGGATCCCAATTATTCTAATATTGTTTCATCTTATCGTATGGCTTATCTCTTGAATTCTGCCCTCGTGATCCTGTAGTTGTTTCGCTCTCTTTTTCTCTGCCTCTTTATTTTCCATCATTTGGTCTTCTATATCGCTGATTCTCTCTTCTGCCTCATTTATCCTAGCAGTTAGTGCCCCCATTTTTGATTGCACCTCATTAATAGCTTTTTTGATTTCGACTTGGTTAGATTTTAGTTCTTTTATTTCTCCAGAAAGGGTTTCTCTAATAACTTCCATGCTTTTTTCAAGCCCAGCTAGTATCTTTAAAGTCAGGATTCTGAACTCTAGGTCCGACATTGTACTAATGTCTGTATTGAGTAGGTCCCTGGCAGAGGGTACTACCTCTTGTTCTTTTTGCTGAGGTGATTTTTTTCGTCTTGTCATTTTGTCCAGAGGAGAATAGATGAATGAGAGAACAAAATGCTAACAGGTTAACAACGTCCCCAGCAAATATACTCTATACAAATTAGAAGAGAGCTGAAACCAGGGGAAAAGAAAGGGAAAGAAAGAAAAAAAAAGAGAAGAAAAAGATAAAAACAAACAGAGCAAAAAAAAAAAAAAAAAGAATATGCTCAAATATGATCAGGCTAGTGCATAGATCAGTGCCACACACTGGATTTTGGGCGTATATTGGTCTGTTAGAAGAAAGTGCCTCCTAAAATTTTGAAGGAAGAAAGACTTATATATGTACAAAATAAGGGTTGATACAATGAAGGGATGGAAGATGACTGTAAAGATGAAAATTATAAAAGATTTTATAACAGGAATTGATAAGATAAGTTGTTTGAAAAAAGAAAGAAGATTTTAAAAAAAAGGAGGGAATGTGATCAGGAAGGAGACTAGAACAAAGCCATACACCAGTGATTTAGGGTACATTTTGATCTGTTAGAAGAAACTGTATCTCAAAATTTTATAGAGAGAACAACTTATATATATATATATATATATATATATAT